CTATAATTAGTATAGCCTTCTACGTGCTGAACTTGTGTTAAGAGTTATTTCTCTTGGAGATTTCGAATTTCCATGAAAATGGTATCAGTATGATTATACGTTTCACAACATCGCGAACAGTTTTATTAATTAGTTTGTATATAAATTCCAATAATGTTTGGTAAAATGCGCATGCCATTGAAAATACGTAATCTTATTACACATAGAATTGCACAGAATTGTCAAACAGCTCCATTTTTTGTATGGATGTATAAGGTAGACTGTGTAGTTTATGCTTTCATGGCAAAAATGGGTGAATGAAGTACTGAACAGTGAAGACATCAGAAAAATTTGAGAAAATTGTTACATTATTATATTAATTCTTACATTTATCGTTGTGTTATTTATATATTTATTTAAATCGGAATTTATACAATTGTTCGGAAATATTAAAAAACAATTTGAAGATTCGTGCATTGGCGATTGTTAACGGTTCCTTTGATAGCTGTAAACGTTATGCAAGACCATGTTCGCGTTCAGCATTGTCTTCGTAGCAGAAGATGCGGTCTGTGCACGCTTCCACATAAACCGTTAAATTCGCAGGTTGTGATTCTGCATGTCCAATCGGACGTCAAGAAAGAATGCTGGTCAAATAAGGGGGTAAAGAGTGCAACTTGTCAATCTAATACGAGGAACGATGGCAGGAAAGTATTGTCGCATACCAATTAGACACGGGGAATGTTTAATTTAAGTGCACATCGAGGGAGCCAACCATTTTCCACATCGTATAAGCGTGACCGATTAGACGGCGGATGCTTATGCAAAATCAAATTTCGAAACGCTGTATGTACTCGTAAATCGAAAGTCACAGAAAAACTGAAACTGGTAACGACGTTTCGATTTTATTATATTTTAGAAGCTCGGGCGATTATTTTTCGAAACACAGGAGTAGAATTATAGAGAAGTAACGAATATATTAAAATGGAAACAAACAAAATGGTATATTAGCGCTGATTTATTATTTCAATATAAAATATGAGAGATCTCAGAAATTATTGTTTAAAAATTCGAAATATGTAAAAAAGAATTAGTAATATATAGTACGTTAAGCTTGTGTGGGAAACTGCATTTTTTTCAAAATTTCAATTTTTCAAATCTAGTCAAAATATTTTCATATGAAGAAATTTTATTTTTATCTCCTTATCAATTAATGTTCTTTTGATATATACTTTCGTTTAGATCTTAAGAATAAATAGTAATTACAGTTAGTTGTTTCTGACGAGTATGCTCGTCGTGAAGAAGTGGCAACATTCTGTGTTATAACGAGTATACTCGTAAACAAATAAATGTTAAAAATAAAATTAAGAAATAAAACAGTCATTTCATTACAATTTGATTCTGTATTGCAATAGCCACGCATACGCTCTTCAAATAGTTAGCAACAGCTAACTAATTAAAATTTGACGAACGTGTTACAGATTCGTCTAACTTTTTATGCTGACTCTTCCCGTAATCTATTTCTTACTTTCCTCTCGCATTTTTTGTGATAGAAATACATATAATTCGTTTACAATTGAAAGCATGTCTTAGTGTTAATTGAATTGTTTACACGCTTCGAATGCCAATCTGTTAGATGTTCCACGATTCGTTTGTATGAATTCCAAGATCGATCGAAGTCGACGTTGAGTCGAAAGCTCAATGAAACGTGTCACGAACATCGATCAAGAACATTAATTGTAGTTTTCGCGACGCTCACAATAATTACCGAACGAAACAAATTGTCACTATTTCACAATGCCTTCTGAATCATTTAAACGGCCTTCGCAGGTTTTGAGAGGAGTTTGCCGTCCTTTATAAAAAAAAAATGTTTCCATTTATCAATCTGATAACTTTACTAGAATAAGGCGAACGCAACTCATCTATCATTTAATTATTTTAAACGTATCTTTTTCCACGAAGACGAGGACGCAGGTCTCGTAATGTTCTGAATCACTGGTATTGTGTGAAAAACAAATTAGCAACTTACGTTTCCGTTTTTCAGGCGAAACGAATGAGCAGTCTCACAAGTAAACAGATAAACAAATCATATTTCGTAGAAATATTTTATATGACACAAATGAACTTACAACTTTATAATGAAAATAGTGAAATACGATAGTCTTATAAAACTTATTGCAATATCTAATAATTGTATAGCAATCAGTAGATAAATTCACACGTTCTTTATTAATAGTATTATATCATCATGATTTGTATTATATAATGTGAATTATATTTCATTGAACAATAGACATAGGACAAATTTTATTTTATGATATCGTTTAAATTGCAGCTTTCTAATTTCAATCAATAATTTTGATATAATGATGATTTGAAAAATGATTTTTAAATACAAACATCATTTTCAAAGACAGGTTATTACAATTAAATAATAAATGGAATTAAATTAATTCCATTGTAATTAAATTCTATGTAAAAAATATAATGTAATCAATTTTACCTCTATTTGAAATTAATTACGTTTTAAATTTCTATTAAAAATCTACTAAAATTTAGGCTTCTATTAAAAATCTATTATAATTCAAATTTATGGTACAAATTCATTATAAATCATATTCTTTCTTTTATTTCAGACAAAACAGAATATCAGGCAAGAATAAAGCATACACCTATACGTCGATTATCATGCATTCGCTCGTATTGCAAAAAAAGGTGTGCACTTTTCTTCATTAATCCGTGAAGGACCAGCGTTTTTGTTTCCGTTGGATATAATTATCGTAGAAACGGGTGTAGTCAGCGTATGAAAAACGAAACAAAAGCATGGAGATACAGATATTATCTCTCCCCTTATGAAAATTATCATAACATGTTTACCACTGATTCAAATGCGTCGGCTTGAATCGTTATACACGGCATTACGTTCAGTAATTTCCAAAATTCTTCTTGTCAATTACTTGCAGTTAAACATTTCGAATGAATTGTAATAAATTATGCATTTCGTTAATGAAAATAAGATGTTGGAATATAAGATATCGTTTTTAATTTTCGTTTGAATGAAACCTAAAATGTCGAAATCACAATAATCTGAAATTCAATTATATATAGATGAAAGTATGTCAGATTTTGTAACACAACTTTAAATTGATTGCTAATTAACAACCATCACCAAAATCATATTAATTTCCAAACCGAGGCTTTACTGTTCAATTATTCTTTAAACGACCGTATATTCGATTTTTATATAAACGTGTAACTAAAAATTTTTGTTTTATCTTTTGCTGCAAATAAATTATTGTAACAAAGTTGATTAGTCAAAGCATATAAATTTACTGCAGGGAAGAAAATATGTTAAGCATTTAATTTGCACTATTATTATTGCTATCAATTAGATAGTTACGTATACATAAAAGAAATGCTTCCTTTTTCAATTTTGAGAAACATTGAACAGAAGGTCACGTCTACATACATCGAAAAACGTGCAAACCATGTTTCCAGTCCGAATGTGTTTAACTCCTCCAGCAAATAGCCAGCTGTTAACAGACTCGTTTTTATTTTCATCGTAATTAGCACTAAACGCTGTGAAATAGTGCTGTACAAATTTGAATAAAGATCTTGAAAATTTACGGTATGTGTTCGATTTTCTGCTCTTTTTATTTAACATTCCTTTTTCATATGGTAATAGTTATATTTATCTTTATGCTTCTAGAACACGTAATAACGGGCTGAAGGAGAAACTGAAAGATAATGTTTAATGAACTACAACTGAATTCATAATGTACGTTAAAGAAACAATTGATAACCTATTTTGAACTCAAAGTGTCATTCATAATTTTTACGTCAAATTAAGAAATTTGTTAGACACCACAAATCAAATTTGTTGAAGAGACTCGAGAAAAATTTATTTACACAACAGAATGGAGACCAGATAAAGCGACACCAAACAAGATGGTGTTCCTTGTATTTTTAATAAAATTGTTGTATATATTGATAAGAATATACTTTATAATGTCTGTGAAACTTCAAATTATTCTTTGTGGCATACTCCAACAAGGAATAAAAGAAAATAAAGAAACAAAAAAAAAATTACTAACTCGATAAAAAGAATAAATAAATGTTACGAAAAGTAACATGTAACATTCGTGTTACGAAATAGTACACTTTTCGATAATATAAAAAAATTAAAAATATTTAATTAACATCGTAAAGTATTGA